AACCCCGCCTTCAAAAAAAAAAAAAAAAAAATTCCTTGCTGTGTTTTTGCATCGCCCGGTTTCGCCGGGCAGACCCCCCCGGGCCCAACCGGCCGGGCGGCGGCCCAGCCTAGTGTATATATATATATATATATTCTGTTTGTGACGATATATAATATTTTATTTTTATTTTCATTTTTTTTTTTTGCGGGGTGTCGAATACCGCCGACCGGTAGGTGCCAACCAGCCGACCGCTCGGCTGGTCGGCAGCCGACCAATCAAGGGCCATCGACCGTCGGCCTGTGCAACTCTGGTTGTGGCCTTGACGTGCCATGCTTGTGTAACTGCGAATGTGGGCTTGCTTTCCAGCTGGCATGTCACGTACATGCCATGTGTTGTCGATGTTTTCAGGAAGCTGCCATGGAGAGTTGTCTCACTGCTGCTTGGACTATTGCCGATGCCATCACCCACAACATCCTCTCCGCTCATGTCCCACACTCAACGTTGGGCATCCTCTGCTCGCACCCATAATTGGACCCTGTCCATCCTTGCTAAATGAGAAACAGACGCAGCAGCCTGAGGTGGGGAATAGACTCTCTCACATGTACCAACTACAACGTGCCATTGTGAAAGGTTATCAACACCAGGGCTAGCAGTTGCAGACCAGATTTTGCAACAGCTGAACACCCTAATTCTGGATCGGGGCCGACCATCACCTGCCCATAGAAAGGGAATGTTGGATGCCGAAACCCAAAAAACGTTCTCAATGGCACTCTGTAATGGCCCACCTGAGATTTGGCCAGCATGTGATTGGCATGCTTTGTGTTGTGAGGATAATGAAGGTATAGCCCATGCAAGTCTTGTTTTCATACGTATGATGACAGTCAACATTGTACGCATGTACGACACGCTGATATGGTATGTCCTATTTCTAGACAGGTTCTTGGATTGCAATGCCTATACAGTTGCGGTCGGCATGCCTCTGTGTTCTTAGCATGTGGGAGTCATGTAGCCTGTGACACCTGTCTACGAGCTGCCATTGAATGCAGCAAACTGCAACTGCAAAACTTGGATGCAGCGTTTCCACAGTCCACACCCGAACCGGTTCGGGGTCCTGTCTGCAGGGCAGGCCACTCATTTCATTTTTCCCTGCAACCCGAACTGACTGCCCTTTTGTGCCACTCCATAGCAGTCTGCTCTGCCGGTGAGTACTGGGAACCCTCTGAAGTTCGTCTTTCCCCTGTTATGTTTCTTCATCCATCCACTTCCCTCCTCTTCTCCTTGTCCCTCCTCCCTCCCTCGTGTAGAACGTCTCCCTCTACTTCCCCTTTTCCTTTCCACCTCCCCTTGTGTAGAGCAGGGCAATGCCGGGGGGGGGTGAGGAATGTTAAAAAAAAAAAAAAAAAAAAAAAAAAAAAGAGAAATAGCATGCTTTTAATTTGCTTTATTATATATGGAGCAAAAGGAGGCCGGGAATCCCTCCACATCTCAACCCGGAAGACTGGGGCCATTATCCAGATTTGCCTCTTGCTGGAACCCGGGTCCAGTGTCCCTTTCTCCTATGAAGCTTCATGCTATTCCTGAACGAAGACTAAAACTGGATTAACAAAGGACAAAATAGCCAAAGATGAAAAAACCTGCCGACTAACTTTCCATCCATCCCCATCTTAAGCCCTAAAACCGACCGCTGTGACTCATCTTTCCCATTGCCCCCGACACCTCCTCCTCTCTGTCCGCTCTACTTAAACCCTAAACCCTGCGGAACGGGCAAGTCGCTCTATCCTAAATCCTAGCATATCCTAACTAACTGTCCCAGAGGTTGAAACTCTATGACTAGCCTTCCGCTATTGCTTCTCTTACCTATACCTTTTAAATACCTCTTCAATACCCCAAACCCTCGTTACTTCTTGTTTGATCCGTCTATCTTTCAAAGCAGTGGAAACTCAGCGTCAAGTCTGGGAGAGATCCATTCTGCTCTTCTGAGGGAGCATCTGTCACTTGTACAGAAACCTGCCTGTGTGCAAATGGCTGACGAGCTCTCACCCTATCTCCCTTCTTTCTCGCTGAACTGATAGAATCGTCATCGCTTACTCCCAGATCATGTGAAACGACTGATAGAATCTTCATTGCTTGCTTGCAATCATACAAAACAGCTGACGAATCTTCATTGCTTCTTCCCAGATCGTACAGAACGACTGACAGAATCTTCATTGCTTGCTCCCAGATCATACAAAATGACTGACAAAATCTTTGTTGCTTGCTCCCAGATCATACAAAACGACACGAGTATGGCAGTTCGTTATGGCAGCTCTAGGATCTTCGGCTCTGCAGAAAGGTCCTCTTTGGTGGTGTTCTAACCACAGACATCACCACAGGTAACATTCCTTTCTACTTTGCCTCTCTGCTCCTCTTCTTTCCCATCACTGCTCTGTACTCTGTCCCTGAACACCTATGAACATGAATGTGACTGACTGGGCTCATAGCACACTGGTACTGTTATGGACCATGGACCCTCGACAGCGGCGGAACTGGTCAACTTTGCAAAGACTGTTGATTCCGTCGGATTGCTGTTACGAATTGTCATTCAAAACTTGAGAAGCGCTTGAGTGGCACTGCATGCTGCTCAGGGAGACACCCTGTGTATGGCGTGCCTCATGGAACAGCTCAGCATTCAGGTCACTGAGTCAAGCTACAACTGACACTGCCAGGAACCTGCAGCTTGTCAGAGAGAGGCTTGTGGTGGCTGAAGGGGATGACTGAAGGGGTCTTTTGGGACATCCGTTGAACCTGGAACGATACAAAGAAGATTAGGATGTCCCTTGCACAAGGATGACATGCACTCATCGAGAAACATTCCGAATTTTATTAAAAAAGGGGGTTCTAGAAGAGTTCGCAGCTGTCCCCATTTTGAATAGGCGACTAGAGCTGCAAGGGCAAGGCTGAGCCTATTGCTACATTTTTTTTCTTCTTCTGTACTCATGCTTGCCGATGATAAGCAACCGGACTGCCACCCCCCCAAATAAAAGGGGCTTTGAGTGTTTGTTAAAAAAAAAGAAGCGCAAACTAGTATGTTGCATGTGCCCTTTTGAAGCCGAAGATTTTGTAGTTGGGGTATGTAAAATTGGAACGATACAGAGAAGACTAGCATGGCCCCTGCGCTTTCAAGGATGACACGCATAAATCGAGAAATGGTCCAAAAAAAAAAAAAAAAAAAAAAAAAGGCTGAATGTTTGTTTTGAAAAAGGTCTCAATGGACTTAGGAAGAGAGGAATTGGAGACCTAGGAGGGAAGAAGGGGGGCGAAGTACCATCATTGAATAACAAACCGAAACAAAGGAAAGCTCTTCCAAACCTCCTAATCCATTTCCGTTTTCCATTTTCTGCTGGCAAATGGAAAGGAAAGCCCAGAAAATTTGAGAAATTGAAAACTGTTCTCCTACAACCATTGCACCTCTAAGGAGGAGAGAAGTCGAACTGCTGTCCTCCCCCGAACACAGTACACCCTCATCGTGACTGTATCAAACTGGAATGGTGGCTTGAATACATTCATGATCAGTGTGCACTGTGCATTGCATTTGGGGGAAGACATCAGTGCTGAAGGATTAAGAGGCATCAAGGGGAGAACGGAACTCGCCTTTCCTTTTTCTTGTGTGCTCCCACAAGAAATACCAGACCTTACCTAAGGCGACCTGGCGGGGCCAGCAAAAACCAGTGGGCTGAGTGCCGGTTCTTGCTGCTCACGTGGGCTGATGAATCCCAAATGCAGCTCAGTTGCGGACTGATGATTCCAAAATTTACTAGTGTAGCAATCCAATTGCTCACTCGTACGACTGCCCACTCGTTCCTTGCAACTGTTTGCTGATATAGATCAGCGTGAAACGGTATTCACCAGTTAGCAGTAGCTGCAGCGGTAGCTGCTGTTTACATGCATGAAAAGTGTGAATGGGAACAAGTCTGATTGCAAGCGCAATAGCAAGCTGTATTCCTTACTCTTCTAGTTTTAATTATGTCTCCGTTATCTCGAATGAGTGACCAACGATCCATGCAGTAGCCTATCCTATTGTGCACATCAGCAGCACGTCTAAACTTTGGTAAGTGATGAGAACTACTCTACGCATACACTTCACTAAGACTGCTTGACTTATGATCATGGATTTGTGTACATGGCAGTACGTGCCCAATCGACTATAGTACGGGTGGTGCGCCAATTACACATGACAAAACAAAAAATGTATGCCATGATCACATCCTCATAAAGCATATCCTGCTTATCATGAGAATGACCTGCTAGTAGTACAGGTCTGATCCATTCACCCTTGAGTTTTTTTTGCTTTAAACTTAGTATAAAGCATTTTTTGTGTTTGCTGACAGGTCATGTATGATGTCTCCTTTCCTTGCTTGTTGGCACATGCTTGTCTCATATTTATAATATCAAGAATCAAATTGGCACATGGTTGTCTCCTTCCCTTCTGAACAAGACATGCCCATGGCAAGGTTGTGTATGCTAACTTTTGGAACTCGAACCTCAAATTGTGAGGGTTCAAGAATTGTCTTTTCTGCAGTGCCACAGTTTTATTATCAAATGTCTGTATTGCCTGTTCGGACTATGACAACTGTGGTTGCATCAATGGTTTTCCAGGACAGCAGACACAAAGGAGGATTTTCACAGTCCACTCCACTATGGCTTCTGGTGGTCACATATTGGGTGGTAATCTCTCTCTCTCTCTCTCTCTCTCTCTCTCTCTCTCTCTCTCTCTCTCTCTCTCTCTCTCTCTCCAGAATCGACAGCGGTTAATCCTGGTCAGGCTGTCAGCAGTCATAATCACAATGCATCCATACCATGGTTATGATCCGGACATCCGGATAGCAGTGCGGATGGTCCAGGTCTGGATGTCCGGGTCTGGATGTGCGGGTCTGGCATCCACTCCAGACATCCGGATCGCCCCCCTCCCCCCCGCCCCCCCCAAAGAAAAAGAACTGACTTTAAAAAATCTGGAAAAAAAAAAAAAAACTTTCAAAAGGATATGTTATAGAGCATTGCAATATAAAAAACCTTTCGGGCTGAAGATCATCTCGAAATTCGTAGCCAAATCCAAGGGTTTCTTTTTGGAGCAGTGCAGGCATAGGTGTGCCCAGACGTCCGGTGTAGAATTCGCGTCTAGCACACACTACGTGATTGTTGCTCATCTTCGCCTCATGGGCACCCTCCTGTGGGGTCCAGTTAAGGGATAGACATACTACCTACAGTTGCCAATGCTGGTATCATATGCATGTAACGTCTCTCTCAGAGTGATTTCCAATCTAGTCTGCAATGGTCCCCCCATAATCCGCTTCCTGCTTTGCCCCTGGGACACACTCGACACCCTCATCTTGCCCCTGCTCACTGATCTGCTGGCGATAGACCTGCACTTTCCGCTAGTACTGATACCTGTCTTCTTTTCTCCGCTGGCCCGATACAGCTGTAGTTTCGTCAGGGGCTGATACCCCTGAAGTTATGCCTGCAGTTTCCTCTCGTAACAAGTCGTCCCCGCCCCAAACTCACTACCTGTCCAGACGAGTGTGCAGCTTCCATCTCTCCGGTGCACATTTCGTCCTTCTGAAATCCTTGCTCAGTTTACCCCGACCTCTCCTTGTTTCTATGCTTGGATGCATATATCTGCATTCCTCCGTCCACCCTCAATCTCCCCCACAGTATCCTTTGGTAGCAGACTCCTCTGCTCTCACTGTTTCACATCCATTGCCGCAAGCCATGCTCGTTTGCAGTTTGCAGACCGGACAGCCATTCGCTCTTAGTGTGTATCACCGACGACATGGACTGCTGGAGATCAGCACCCTGTTTTTTCATCTGCCTTGCTTCTCTGTTCCTGCTCCACACATGTTGCTGTCCCCTTGCTCCACAAGACAATGTCTTAATATCATGACTGATATGGCTGAACTTCCAACACCGTGACCTTGCTGTAGTGGTTAAGCGACTTGGCTCCTGTGGTCAAGGGTGCCGGGTCGATTCCGTGCATGCATGGATAGGCCTGAGGCCAGAAAGTATGGATTCCTAACCACTAATGTCCACCAGTGTCCCTTTCATAGCCAACAATGCAGGGTCTTCTGATCCTAGAGTACTTTCTGTACAGCGCTTCCTGCTCCTCCCTAACTCTACGTCACCTGCGAACTGAGCTACTTGTACTGTCTACCACTCCTCATTCTCTTTTACTTATCTCCTTTCCTATTCCCCTGGAATGTCCAGGTGCCCTATGGAAAATCCGAAGTAGCACTTGACCTCCTCTGCTCCCTTCTCGCCACTCTGCCTGAAGAGTTCCGCTCACCAATAACCCTTATTAGAATTAGCCAGATGCTCTATAGGACCCATTTGCAGCTTGATCTTTCTACGGTGTTCGCGCCCGCTCCATCAGTCCGTACTCTTTTGCAGTGTTTAGCCTACGTTTGATGTTTCCCCCTGCATACTTCTCACCACCCTGTCTGAAGAGTGCTGCTGGTCATTAGTCCCAGGCCACCATTCAAAAATAAGTCCTTGGCCTTCTATCTTTGATACTGTCGCCCTCCCAATGATCCCTGAAAAAAATCCTCTCTCAGCTCCTTTTCCCTTATCTGGATTGGCGTTTTTTTTTATTTGGTTGGGGGGGGGGGGCGGGGGGGGGGGCGAATGCGGAATGCATACATGCCAGGTTCAGTTCTAGAAACACTACTACGAGGCCAGGCAAAGTGGCAAAGCAGCGGCCGTCACCCAAGGGGAACGTTCACTTCAGAACATTCCTCCAGGTAACAGTCAAACAAACAGCTTACTGAGCTTCGTGCTGCATATGGATTTCCTTTTTTCTCCGTTATTCTAGCGACTCCTTTGCTCCTGCCTTGGATATCTGGATCGGCTTTAATCTTTCTTTGAACCCATTCCCACTGTGCTGTGTAGTCCATTCCTGTTAGACTCCTGAACCTGAAACTCTCCTCCTTTTTCTGGCATAGACACCTGCTTTCTGTCGATTGTCTCTCGACATCTTCTTTTCCAGATTGACCATAGGCCATACTGCCTCAACTTCCCAAACCAGTTACGACTGAAGGACGACCAGTCTTCCAGGCGTTGACATGCCTCTGAGCAGGGTGACAAGGTCTTCAGAAAGGGTTCGGAGGAGACCTCCTCTCGGGCTCCCACCATTCCTTTGATAGCTTCCACACATGTCTGTCCTTAGGGAAGCTCAGTAAACAGTGCTTCATGCAGTTCATGTCTTTCGTGTTCCCCTCATCACAAATTGCGCGAAGTTCCTTTTGTGGGGTTCTTCTTTCCTTGCTTCTGCGCACATTCAACCATACGTTAACTGGCAGCGCTACCATCATCTTCCTTCTTTTTGTTCTTTTTTTTGAAAGGCGACGGCCTTGAGATATTGCCACCGAACTGACCGGCCCAAGGTAATTCCGAATTGTAGTACTTCACTCCTTTGCTTCTAACGGATTTCAAACTCAGGCCTGTATTTCAACAGTCCAGGTTCTACCACCTGAGCTACGCCAGTTGGTGCGCTACCATCATCGTCACTCTAAACAAACATAGTCATTTTTTTGCTGCATCTGGACTGAAAGTTAACCCTAATACAGGCATGATTACTGTACAGCGTACGTTCAATTGGGGAGAAGTAGGGTAGACAGCCAATCATTGCTTGCCTCTCAGCCGCCCTGGCCTGAAGTTTCCAATTTCCTCCATGGGTAACCCTGCACACTTGAGGGCTGTACTTCCTATCGTTCCTTCCATCTTTGCCCTGATGTAGTGTCTTTTTTTTTTTTTTTTTTGTAGTCAATGTAGTGTCAATTTTCAATTTTGTGAGACCTCATTTTTAGGTTGTATGATTGTATCCCGATTTGGTTGTGTATTTAAAAATGTTTGTTCTCCTCTAAGGCTCCATGCCCATTCACTGAATCTGCCTCCAAGTCGTCTGTTGCGACTGTTGGACAACAGATGGTGCTCTCCTCCTCCTCTGTTACTCTCACCTTTTGGACCAATTCAGATTTAATTGAAACCAAACCCATAGATACTTTTGACACTCTGCTCATTGTCGCCCCTGGTTCCTCAGGCTCGAACATGCTTGTGAGGAGCCAATTGTTTTTGGCCCTTCCAAAAGGCTATGCCTGGTGCTGTTTCCTGCTTCCAAATCACCCAGTCCTCCCAGTTCCATACCGGACCTTTCCGGAACTTAACCGTCCAATTAGACGGGATTAAAATCAGCACATCATTCAGATTTCCCAGCTGGTTATGAATGCCTCTGAGTGTTTTCATTATCTCGTGCGAAGTTTTCCATCTTCTTTTCTCCTCCGACGAAAGGTGCTTGAATGCCGAACTTCCAAAAAACAAAGGTCGAACTCCAGCCCGCCAACTGCATATGTCACAATGACAGTGTGCCCACATAATAATCCCATAATGACCCATGGAATTTTTTATGGCCACTCGTTCATTATTTCTCTAGTACGTGATAAGGTTTGGGGTATGGTCATCGTCAAACAAGCTATGCGGATTAAAAGATTTGCTGCTGGTTTAGTTCCCTCCTGCCGAATGGGGCCAAAGTATTGCTGCCAGATCAATTGCGGTTGGGGTTTCACTTTTCTTGCAGGGTTATGTATGCTACGTGCTAACAACAGAGTTCTTTTATAAATGAATTTGAGATGTTTTCTTATGATGTGCAATTTCCACAAGGCAAACATGTTGTCATGCTGTATCTGTCATTGTGCCTTGGCTGTCCATTGCAGGTTTCTCCTCAGTACAAAGAATACCGAGGTGCGCTCATCATTTGTGCCAGATCTGTTAAGGTTTCCCGAATTACATTATCTGGACAGGTAGGTGTTTCTTTTTTACTGTGGAGAGGTCCAGAATGTGCAATCATACTGTCCGACCAGGAGGGGTCTTGAGGCATCTTGAACTTTTTCTCTTTCTTGAGTTTCTTCTGCTCTACAATGTTGTGCTCAGGAACAGGCCAATCACAGGGACCCCCACTTTTCAGCCCTGGTTAACCCCCCCAGCACTGAAAAGTCCATTTGGGGATAATTTTTTCATCTTTTTTTTGTTTTGTCTTTATTTTTGCTCAAGGTCTGCGTGTACTGAGTTTGGTGTTTGTTCGAGTCTTGGAGATGACTGTTTTGGCCAGCCCCGAAAATCCTGAAAATCCTGAAAACTGAAAACAGCAAATTTTGCATGAAAACACACTTTTGCCTTGGGGTTTAAGGCCCTTTTGATCCATTTTTTTACTTTTTTTTTTTGCTGTTGATTTATTTGGTGTCCACTCTATTGCAACCAGACTCGTTTTCAAACACACTTTTCATGCATGTAAACAGCAACGCAGCATACTGGCGACATGCGCCCACTCAAAACTCAGAGATATGGCTTTCAGATACGAGTTCACTCTCAATTGGCTATGGCGACTTCAGCGCCCAAACACCTCACTGTTCACATACACTGGATCACCCTGGATATCCCACACGCATCACTCTAACACTCGAACACACACACACACTCACTACTAACTATAGCTATGGCAGCTGTCGCTCCATCTACCCTATCGCTATGCTAACTCCCTCTCTCTAGCCCACTGCGTCCTCCGGGCTCATCTGCAGACCTCCTTGCACAAGTCGCTGTGGCAGCGCTTCCGCATGGCTCACGCAGGAATGAATGAATGGMTGGGCGCTGCCTCTTGATTTATACTTCAGAAACTCGTTGGTCTGCCCTTTGCCATCGGCCCTTGGTGCTCACAGTCCCCCTGTGGTACTTGCTGGACTGGACTGGGACTCTCTAGACCCTTCTGCTGACTGTAGGCAGTCGTACCGTCGACTCAGTGCAGTTGCACTGAGGTCCTACCTGTTGACCTTGCCACTTGTCTTGGTCTGAAAACGTGGGCCTTCCTTAGACTCACCACTTGACCACTTGCCGACCTTCTAGAAGGACTACAGCTAGGCCTCTGGACTCTACTTGGACTCCTACCTTACAGGTCTACAGTTCGAATCTCCCTACAGCCTACAACCTGTCTCTTATACACATCTAGATGTGTATAAGAGACAGCTACACTGGTAAGCTGAGGTCAAGGGATCGACCCCTGGGATCTGCATCGGCTACTGCCAAAGGTGAAAACTGTTTCACTATGGACTGGTGACAAGTCTGGCTTAAACCACCAGTACCTCGGCCAGCCTTTTTTTCTTTGGTTGTGGCGCGTTGATGACTGCATTGGACAGGGGTCGGGGGAGGAACGACCGGTAACCACCTGAAGTAAAAAAAAAAAAGACTTCAAAAACTATAACAAAACAAACGGGAGGAGTCAGACGCCCTTATGAGAACCGCGAGGTCATCTGCAAACATTATCACTGTTGGGAATTGGATGTGGTGAGGGGTACCGGTATTAAGATCTGACAACCTTTGGATTGAGGGGTCTTTGCGTAGGAAGGAGGCGATCACTTCCATGACAAAAAGGAAGATTGGTGGGGCTAAAGGGTCTCCTTGACGGACTGACCGGGAAATCAGATAACGTTCGGAAATAAGTCCATTCACTTGTACACATCTTGAAACATCGTTGTACAAGATCCTGACCCATTTCCTGAATTCAGGTCCCACTCCCATTTTTTCCATGCTCGCATTGAGAAAGGTCCAATTGACTTAGTCGTAGGCTTTCTCAAAATCGAAGAACAGGATAGCTGTATTCATCCTCTTCTCTTTGACTTTTCTTGCTGCCTCGTTAAGAGTTAAGACATTGTCTAGTATATGTCTTCCCGGGATAAAACCAGCTTGATCTATGTGAAGGCATTTATCTGTGAGGTCCAGTATTCTGAATGCTAATGCTTTCGCCAGAATTTTGTAGGAGAGGGTAAGGAGGGAGATTGGTCTATAGTACGAATGTCCTCCCGATCCCCCTTCTTATACAGTAGGGTCACCATGCTGCTACTCAAAAATTCTCTCATCCCCCCTTTATCCCAGCTGTCCTTATAGAACTGAAGAAGGTCATTGCCCATTATGGGCCAGAACGTTTCCTATAATTCCTTGGTAAGAAATCGATCCCTGGGGATTTGTCGTTTTTCATGCTGTGGACAGCAAATTTCAATTCCTGTAATGACCCGCCAAAACACAGACTGAGAACACTGCTGATTTATGGGATTTGCCGCTGGAATGAATGCCTTGCTGAGATTCCCGCGTTCTGTTGTGGTTTCCAAGTCTGTGTATGTGTGCGTGCCTGTCTGAGTGCTTGTCGGCTGAGTATGTGTATGACCCACAAGGGTATTTGTTGGTTGCAGGGCCCCGCAGGGCCGGTACTTACCTGTGGTCGTGACTTTGAGGGTTGCAGCAGGGAAAACACTCAAGTAGCGGGGGTAGGCCCGTGACACTTAGCAGCGGGAAAAACACTCAAGTAGCAGGTAGGCCGGTACCACTCAAGTAATGGTAGAAGTGTCGGGTACTGGAGGCCGAGCAGAAGAAGACAAAAAGTTGGCATTTTTAGAGGCCCAGTAGCGATAGGTTAGAGGTAGGCCGGTACCAGTCCAAGTAGCCCGGGTCTAGGGCCTGTCCGGACGATAGCAGAGCCTGCAATGATGTTTCCCTCCGAAAGGGAGGAGGTACCAGTTGCTGGGAGGCCGCTCGGCCCAGGAAGTCACCGCCCAAGAGGCCAGTAGGCCGCTATATCTTCCGGAGGAGCAAGTAGCTCCTCCTCATTTGCGGTATGCAAGGATTGGCGACATGCTGCTGAGCCGAGCGTTGGACTTGTATAGCGCTGCCTGGAGGTGAAGGGCAGCTGGGCGCTCAGCCTGGCTATGGCGAGCAGCCCAGCCTGAGGAGGAGGAAGAAGGGGGCGAAGGAGGAGAGTGGCGAGGTACCTACCTGGCTATGGTGGACACCATCTTCATCACCTTGTTGGGCGCTGCATCTGGAAGGCCCCAGTTGGGGTAGTGCCGCACCAAGGAAGCTCGAGGCAAAGTCAGGCATGGCGGCTTAGTCAGCAGCGGCATAGCTGCTTTGGGTTGTCCTTTGGACAGGAGTGCAACACCATAGCTGCTTTGTGTTGTTCTTTGCACAGAGAAGGGCAGAGCCCTCAGTTGTCCGCCATAGCCTAAGCTTGTGAGAGGTGGAAGAAAGGGGGAAGCCATAGCTATGGTGGACCTGTTGTTGTTGTTGTTGTGTCAGCAGTAAGAGGGAACTTCGGATATTGATTCTGGTTCATCCACTCATTGTTATTATTATTGTTGGGAAGAAGAATAAGATTGGAGAAGTTAAGGAGGAGGAGAAAGGTGGAGAGAGAAGAGGGATTTGTCATTGGTCTTGTTGATGTACATCTTCTTCTTCTTCTTCTTCTTCTTCTTCTTCTTCTTCTTCTTCTTCTTCTTCTTCTTCTTCTTCTTCTTCTTCTTCTTCTTTCTCTCTTCTCTCGTCTCTATCTCTGTGCAAGTGCTTTCATTTCTTTCGCAATTGGGTGACATTGTCTTTCATTGTGAATTTGCACTTTGGGAATGACCAGGATCGTAACATTCCTCTAGCGTAATAGATTTGTCAAGCGCTGCTGCCTGTTCCACTGAGATTGTCTTGTCTAGGTACTGTAGCATTTTGGTTCTCGCCTTTGTCGTCGCTATAGAGGCGGGTGAGGCATTTTTCATCTGGTACAGTTATTGATAGAAACCTCTAGCTATTTCCAGCATCCCTTCACTGTCTATCCTTATGGCTTGTTCGCCTGACAATTCCTTTAGCCCTTCAATTGAGCTCGCTCTGATGTTGGCTTTTATTCTCGAGAAAAAATGTTTAGTCATTGATTCGTTTAACTCATATTCTGGCATTCTTGCTCTGAGTTGTAGGCCTTTCAATTCCCATTGTCGCCATATTGCTAGTTCATCCGTTGCCCGTTCGAGGGTTGTTGAATATAGGATTGAGGAAGGGTCAATTATCAAGTTGTTCTCTACAATCTTTAGTGCTATCTTCAGAGCTTGTTTTCTCTGTCTTCGATCATTGGCCAGTTTTCGGGATAGCCGAGCCTCTGTTTAAGACAGGTAGAGGTAGCTATTTTGGAACCATTCCCATTTATCCTGTCCTCCTAAGAATGTGCTCCTCAAGTTTTGCCAACATTCATGTACACCAGGGTTGTCGAGCCCCGGCCCCGGGGCCCCGGCGGGGGTCCCGGGCGCCGGGGGTCGGCACCCCTTGCCCCGACAAAAAAAGTGAAAAAAAATAAAATAAAATAAAAAATATAAAAATATAAAAAAATAAAAATAAAAATACAGGGGGGTGCGCAGCCGCAGCCTGCACCCCCTGGGCCAACCTTCAATATTGCAGTTTTGGCCCGACCTCGATCCCCCCCCGGGGCTACACCCCACCCTCGTGAGCCCGGGGTAGTGCGGGCGCGGGGC